AGGTTTTCTTCTAATGCATACAATCTCAGCAAATACATACAGGTTTGAGGTTTTAATGTGGAAAAGTTTAGGGGTGCAGGTACGTTATCATAAAAGAACTTTATGAATCTCTAACCAGCGTCAAATTTAAACCTAAATTTAACAAAACCCATGAAAAACATGCCTTCTCTCTTGACAAATAAAAAAATACAAATATTGGAGATTTGGTTTGACATATTTATTGAGCAGAAAAAAACAAAACTTGTTTTCCCAGCAGTTGAAATGGCACTGAGTGGTCAGAGTTGATGGAGAGATAATGGCTGAACCTGTTACAGTTACAACATTGTCTGCAACACTGTTGAATCAAAGTCTATGTAATAGTGAGGAGAACATAATAAAGAGACTTCATGTCAGCTTCCTTTCTTTTCTCCTGTGAAACTTCACATTAGCAAGTACTACGTGTTTTGGCACATTATCAGGGTGAGGCTGAGCTAACGCAGGCAGCAGAGAACAAAGCTTAGCCGCTAAGCAAATAAACATATATTGACCGAAAGCTCTGCTAAATCAACACACAGAGAGGGAGAAAAACCAAAGAAGGAAAAAGTGACCAAGAGAGAACCTTAAACCAGACAGGAAGACAGAAATCTATTAATGACAGATAAAAGTTAAATAAAAGATCCAGTCAATCATAACACTTTGATGGGTACATCTGTGATTATCCTCAGCTGGCTCTCATTTGCTGCTCACAGGCTTGTTAATGTGTCAACTGGTTTAAGAGTTTACAGAAAGCATACCAGATTATTTTAACTGCTGGGGCTGAAATCCATCAACAAGAATGCTTGGTGTCCTGGAGTATAAACCCAATTTATATTGTGCTGCTTATAATGGTGATTCCCAAATATTTTAGACCTGCTTGCTTTTTAGAAAAACAAACCCAAAACCCATACACTATGCCAAAAGAGCCAAATAAAGATCCTTGATTAAATTAACAGATTATGGCTCCTTTTATGAGCCATAAAAACATGTTATTTGTCTGTTTTTCAGATCTTTAATGTTCTGATCGTTTACATCCCTTTGTATAGGACAACTATAAATAATTGAATTAGTATTGTTTTGTTTTATGTGGTAATAGAATGACGTAATAGAATGAGCAGGAGAAAAAAGTTACTGCTGAATTAAAAAAAACTGGTTTTCTTAGGAGGGTTAGGAAGTCAGTTTTTTGTAATGTGATTTAAAACAATATGACTTATTAACCTGAGAAAAAGTGTTGACCTATCTCATTTGTAAACTCACTGAGTGAAAATTCACTCATCTGTCTGAAAACCTGACTTCAGATAGTCAATTAAGAAGTGATTGTCTGAAAAAAAAACATTCACCATATGTGAGCAGAAAGAGGTCTTGCTAAGTTAAATTAGAGTCACACTGTCTGCCTCTTTTAGAGCCTCGCAGTAGTCACTTCTGATGCAAGGAGAAAAGTAAAAAAAAAAAAAAAAGTTCTTTAACTTGATTTTGCTGGGACTTCAGGTTTATTACATTAGCATCCTGGCTGTCATGCTGTTGGCCTGTTCCTGTCACAAAGATTCTGGAGACATTTTTGGGAGTGAGAGACAGGAAATACTCTTTAATGGGACTTTTGAGAAGAAAATTAGCTACAACATAGAGTCAGTTCATGCAAACTGAACAAAAAGTGAGGGCCTTGTCATGAATTATGACCGTACACCTGCAGCTTACTCTGGTTGCATACCAAGGATCTTTCAATAAAATCATCAAGCTCTGTTGGCTCATTTTATTTAGCCTCTATGTTTTACACTATATTTATGTTAAAAAAAATGTTTGTGTATGTTGACAAGTCCACAGGATAGGAAGAATTATATTGAGCATATGGCCAATGATTTAAACAAAGATTAACACTTCAATGCAATTTGTCATTCGGTTACTCACAGTAATTAACTTGTATTGTTTG